GTGTGTGTATACACACACACATATTATATACACACGTATTATGTGTATGTGCGTGCATATGTGTGTGTGTGTGTGTGTATATATATATATATATATATATATATATATATAAGTAAAAAACATTTATAAAAAACAAATAAAAACGCTAACTTTGGCCAGCATTTGTGACTAAGTGGCTACTACAAAAGACTGGAAATACCCCATTTGGAATACCCTGGGTTGTCTACATTTAAAAATGGTATGCCATGATGGGGTTATTTCACATTCCTAGGCTATCATATGGTCTCAAAAGGCAACACAGTCCCAGCAAACCAATCTGGCAAACTGAATTGGGCAAGCCCTATATTGACCCTGTACCTTTTCAAAACACCATAAAACCTGTACATGGGGGCTATTGTTATACTCGGGAGACTTCATTGAACACAAATCCGTATTCAGACGATGAAATCACCAGTAAAAGTGCAGTTTTTGTTTAAAAAAAAAAAAGGAAAAAACAAAGAAAACTGCCAACTTTAGCCAGCGTTTGTGACTAAGTGGCTACTACAAAAGACTGGACATACCACAATTTGTATACCCTGTGTTGTCTACTTTTACAATTGGTATGCCATGATGGGTTTAATTTTCATTCCTGGGTATATGGTCTCAAAGGCAACATAGGCCCAGCAAAACAATCTGGCAAATTTCAATGTGCAAACATGGAAAAGGGGGAAAGCCTACATTTGATCCCTCTAAGTTTGCAAAAACCCATAAAACCTGTTCATTGGGGGCACTGTTGTACTCTGGAGATGTTGCTCAACACATATTGGGTGCTCTTTGGCAGTAATACATAACAGGAGCTGAGAATCCATACTTAGTACAATGTGTGTGGAAAAAAAACCCAAAAAATGATAAGGTTGACAAAGACTGATTGTAGAATGCATGGAAAGTGTGAAATAGCCTAGGGTGTCTACTTTTCAAAAATATATGGTTTGATAAGGGTGAATTACATTATCCGGGTTCAAAAATTTCCCAAATAGTACATGAGTGCACGATGACCAGCTAAAAAAAATTAAAAGTTGGAAAACTGGAATGCGCACCCTCCAAATAAGGTCTTTTAGCCCCCAGAGAACGCAACACACTTATACATGGGGCGTATCACTGTACTCAGGATATGTTGCTGAACTCATATTGGGGTGTTCTTTGGCAGTAACCCTTAAAGTTCTCCTTACATATATTCTTAAATTGCTATGTGTGTCAAAAAAAACCCTATTTTTTCAAATTTTCTTTATTTTGCATAGATTGGTGGTAAAATGGTTGCAGGAAGAGAGTCAAAATGTCCCAAGTTTAATAACCTAGGTTGACTTCTTTTAAAACATATATACATGTGATGGGCTATTCAGGGATTCTTGACAGATATCAGTGTTACAATGTAACCTGCATTAATTGAAAAAAAAAAAATAGAAAAGTGCTACTTATAGCCCTATAACATTCCAAAAAAAGGAATGTTAAATTTGGGCATTTCTAAACTCAGGACAAAATTTAGAAACTTTTTGGCAGTTGTAGATGTGTAACAAATTTTGGGGGTCAAAGTTCGAAAAAGTGATTTTTTTTTTCCCATCATATTTTCTAATTTTTTCTTTATAGTAAGTTATATGCTATGATGAAAATAACGGTATCTATAGAGAGACCATTTAATGGCGAGAAAAATGGTATATAATATGTGTGGGTACAGTAAATGAGTAAAAGGAAAATTACAGCTAAACACAAACACTGCACAAATGTAAAAACAGCCCTGGTCCTTAACGGTAAGAAAATTGAAAAACTGTCTGGTCACTAAGGGGTTAAGTACAACTAATGAGTATCAAAAAACTGTTTAGTAGAAGTACGTCTAGTTATTAAAGGAACACAACATGTATTCCTAACCGTATATTGTTAAAATCACTATCTGGCCCCCTCTTGGCCTCCTAATATAGTGCCAATAAGGAGCAGTATAGTGCCAGGAAAATAAATTTGTTTTCCTGGCACTATAGGGTTATTAGGTACCCCCCCCCCTTTCCTTTAGGACCCCCCTTCCGCTGAGCTGAAGGGGAAAAAACGCTTCAGCAACTTACCTTAATCCAGCGCTGGACTCCCTCGGCGCTGGTGACCTCTCCTCCCATTGCCGACGTCAGCTCCAAAGAAATGGATTGGATCAATATATCAGTGATAGTCTTCATCAGCATCACTTGTGAAGATATTGTGTGAGCACCAATAAAACAATAGAACAAACCACATATAGGGTAATAAAGTAAAATACCACAACCCTGATGAGTATATATTGCACTCACAATGAGGGAATTATATTATGGTGTTTCTCCCCAGTAGGGGTATATCCACTCAATGGTGTATTCTCCTATGTTAGATGTAAAACAAGATAGACACATGTACAGAGATGTAGCTTCCTAGCTGCAACAGGGGACAAACCGCAGGACTTCTGCCCACAGTCGCCGTGGCTTGACTGAGGGCCCTGGAACCGCTCCTTCCTGGAGCCGAATGGGGAATTAGCTCTAGTCCTTACAAGGACTTTCCCCGTTGAATCCCCTACAAGCTGGAACAGCAGACACAGGAGTAAATCTTCTTTCCCTCCAATAACAGGATGACACACAGTTTTGGAGTGTAAGCTGGAATAGATTTTAATGGTGCCTCACTTGGCTTTATATGACAATCCCCATGCAAGGGTTATGCCCACATGGACCTTGTTGGGGACAGGGACACAAACTTACAAACCAATAATAACACATTCACAATGTGAGGTGCTCCCACACACAGGACACAATCCCTCCCTTCTGCTTGGGAGATAATTGGATTAGTAACTGTATTAATTCAAATCCAATTATCTCGAAGCACAGAAAAAAACATACTTTTCTAAAAGGTCCCCACAAATGTTACATCCCCTGATAACCCTGATCTGGGTGACCAACATATCCAAAAATCACCCAGATCAGTTCAGGAATTTCCTGGAAGTCATAATTTTGACCGACCGTGCACATGATCCTATGCCCAAAATAGTTCCATGAAATCAGTGCTAACAGTCGGTCAAGTTTGGTAGTCTTTTACAGGAGTTCCTGCAGGGCCCATAGTCTGGGGGCAGGAGGCTGGCAAGCAGGCTCCTCCAGGAGCTTGTGGCAAACTCACTTGGAGAGGGGAGTTTGTCACAAGAGGTATAATTATTTAATGTTACAAATTATATTAGTTTGCAAACATAAAAATAAAAAAGGCAGGATAACAGATATAGGTCCACAATGGTAGGTTTTAAATAAAACAAAAAAAAATAAAATAAATTTAAAAAACATCTCTATCTCTCCTTACTAGTTTCCCAATTTACTTCTGCTACTCTTCCATGCTTTATTCTCCATCATTCCCACTATGTGCCTTTGCCATTTTACTCTACTTTTTTCACTTGCCCCCACCCCCTTAATTTGTCTGTTCCATCACACTCCTCATCCCATATGTGTTTTTTACGATGCACTTAGGTTATATAGCGCCCAGGGCCAAAATGTGTTTTGGTTTCTTGTCACAATCACAACTATATATATATATATATATATATATATATATATATATATATATATAAATATATATAAAAATCCTGCTGCTGCATAGAGACATACATTCACACAATCTTATTTTTTGTAAAAATTTTTTATTATTGTTATTTTTTTAACACTGAGACCCACCCAGTTTCCCTGTTCTTACTGTTCGATGGAGCTGGATTGGAACCTCATCCCTGTGGTCCAGTGGGGAGCTGCTAGGATTAGACAAAAAAAGTCTTTACTTTCAACTATACATACTTAAAGGGACACTGTAGACATTTCTTGTTTTAGTGGTCAGTGTGCAAGAACTCTACAGTGCTGCCCACCTGCGTTTGTCTAATGGATTTAAGGGACAACAGTCATCAAATTTTCATTTTTCGATTTTTAAAAGTTGATTACATTTCAACAAATAATTGCTGAAAAAAACTTGCAGATAACTTGTGATTGGATGAATCGAGACAAGGTGCTACAGCAGTTAAAGAAAATTAATGTAAATAAGGCTCAGGGGCCTGACGGTTTTCACGCACGAGTACTGAAGGAGCTAAGTAGGGAAATAAGTGAACCTCTGTATGTAATGTTTCAAGATTCTGTTTCAGGTATTGTACAGGAGGATTGGAGGAAAGCAGATGTTGTCCCTATATTTAAAATGGGTTCAAAATCCTTACCTTGAAAATACAGATCTGTGAGCTTAACATCTGTGACTGGAAAAATATTAAGGGATAATATTCAGGAATTCATTGGGAAGAACTTTGTTATTAGCAATAATCAGCATGGTTTTATGAAACATATGTCATGTCAAACTAACCTAATTGCATTCTACGAACAAGTAAGTAGAAATATAGATCAGGGTGTTGCAGTGGATGTGATCTACTTGGATTTTGCCAAGGCATTTGATACGGTTCCTCACAATAGGTTAGTCTTCAAACTAAAAGAAATTGGTCTAGATTAATATTCTTGTTCTTGGGTAGAACATTGGCTTAAGGATAGAGTACAAGTTGTTATTAATGGTATATTTTCAAGCTGGACAAAAGTGGTAAGTGGTGTCCCTCAGTGTTCTGTTTTGGGACCACTTCTATTTAACATATTTATAAATGATCTTGCAATAGGCATTGAAAGCCATGTTTTAGTGTTTGCAGATGACACAAATCTTTGTAAAGTAATAAAATGTAAGCAGGGTATTGCTTTGCTGCAGAGGGATTTAGACAGATTGGGGGACTGGGCCCTATAATGGCAGATTTAATTTAATGTAGAGAAATGCAAAGTTGTGCACTTCGGGGTCAAGAATGCACACGCAACTTACATCCTAAATGGTAGTTGTGACGGACCGCCTGGCACCCTGACTAGGTGCCTCCGCCAATCGCTGCTTCCTAGCTGCCGCCGAGTACCATAAACACCTCACCAGACACCATATGCACTGTAGTCCCTTACCTGCCACAGCTTGGCTGGGGTCTTGCCGTCCCTTCTCACCCTGGACCAAACTCCCAGATCCAGCTCCCAGTGAGAAGACCTCTTCTCCAAGACAGTATGGCAGGTATAGCAGTGTAGCTCTTACAAGAGCTGGTGATTGTAGCTGGTATAGCTGTTCCCGACAATCATGAGACGAGGCTCTGTGTTGAGGGTGAAGATGAACTGTTTAATGGCAGCCTCAACTAGCCTTATATGCAGGTCCCCATGCAAGGGGCACACCCCCTGGACCTGAGATTAGACTACAGTAAAAACATACACATAATTACATTGGCTCTCAGGTCGAGGACACTCCCACATAAAACAAGATAATCCCTCCTCTGTGCCTGGGAGATAATTGAGTCAAGCACTGTTATAAACTCAATTATCTCCAGGCACAGAAAACATACATTTTTACAAACCCCCAAAAATACCATTAAACACACAAAACCCCCACAAAAGTTACATCCCCTGATAGCCCCGATCTGGGTGAACAACATATTACAGTCGCTGACCTGGCCCATAGTCTTTTGGCAGGAGGCTGGCAAGCACACATAGCAGAGGCATTTCTGCCACAGTAGTGAATTAGGGATAACCACACACGAGAAGGATTTGAGAATTGGACAACAAATTAGGCAGCAATATACAATGTCAAATTCTCAAGATGAAAATATAATTTTGCCTCTTTATAAATCGCTGGTAAGACCACACCTTGAATATGCTGTGCAATTTTGGGCACCTGTTCTAAAGAATAATATCATGGCACTAGAAAAAGTGCAGAGACCTGCTACATAATTGCTAAAAGTAATGGAGCATTTTAACTACGAAGAAAGGTTTAAAAATGTAAATCTCTTTAGTTTGAAAAAACTACCTCAGAGGGGAGATGATTACATTATACAAATATATTAGGGGCCAGTACAATCCATTGTCTTAAAATCTATTCATTAACAGGGCTATACATAGGACACGAGGCTACGCATTTATTCTGGAAGAAAGGAGATTTAATTTAAGGCAAAGAAAAGTTGTTTTTTTTACAGTAAGAACTATAAGGATGTGGAATTCTCTACCTAAAAAGGTGGTTTTATCAGAGTCCATACAGATGTTTAACCCTTAGTGACCAGAACGTTTTTCAATTTTCTTACTGTTAAGGACCAGGGCTGTTTTTACATTTCTGCGGTGTTTGTGTTTAGTTGTGATTTTCCTCTTACTCATTTACTGTACCTAAACATATTATATATTGTTTTTCTTGCCACTAAATGGTCTTTCTAAAGATACCATTATTTTCATCATATCATATAATTTCCTATAACAAAATTATAAAATGTGTATATATCTCAAAGTACACTTATAATAAAATCATATATATAAATTATATATGTATAATATATTAGAAAATGCTTTATTTTTTATAATATATTATACATATATAATATAGGTATAATATAGTTATTTTATTATTTTAAAAAAAAATTTTTTTAGGTGTCAGGGGGACTGCCTGACAGCTCAGACAGTCCCCCTGCTGGCAGCTCCATCGACTCCTATTGCGGCCATGTGATCATGGTGACTTGGCCCTGGAGGGCCGCGGAGGCCGGAGCTGCTTCTGGATGACTGCTGTGGTCTCGGGCAGTCCCCCCCGACCAGGATCACCGCCAATAGCCGGTCCAGGTACGTCCACGGTTGGGAAGGGGTTAAACAGCAATTGGGTAAATACCAAAAACATAACATGCAGGGATATAATTTCTTATTAGTGGGGTAATAGCTGCTTGATCCAAGGAGATAGCTGACTTCTATTTTGGGGTCAAGAAGAATTTTTTTCCTAGTTTACTGGAAAATTGGAAGCGCTTCAGACTGGGTCTTTTGCCTTCTTTTGGATCAACAGCAAAAACATATGTGAGGAAGGCTGAACTTGATGGATGCAAGTCTCTTTTCAACTATGTAACTATGTAACATTATGTTGTTGTTTTTTTAAATTATGTTTATTGATTTTTTTGGAGAAAATTTCACTTTTTTTTCTGCCTAACCATGTTGGGTCAGATCAGAGGCGGCCGTCTAAATCGCCTTAGTGCAGTTTGAACTGTCGGGTCCTCGGTTTGTGACTGAGGGACTGACAGTGAGAGGGGGCCCGGTGGCTTGCCCAGTATGCGGGTGTGAGGCCTCTCCACATGGTCTGCCCATAGAGAGCCAAGCCTCAGATCTGCAGCTCTGCCGGGTGACCGGAGCTCGTAAGAACAAGGTCTGCAGCTCTGCGCGCGGCGTAGCTGCAGACAGGATAGCTATCCAAACAGACCAGCTGGGACTGCTACCAATGGACCACCAGGGACTGCGACCACCGGACCACCAGGGACTGAGACCACTGAACCACCAGGGACTTACATACAAAAGGTATTTCAGTGTGTGGAGGCTTGTCACAGCCTCCACACACCTTTCCCCCCACACTGACCCCTACATATCTTGCCCCCACACCCTGCCCCCCACACTAACGCCCACATACACTGCTTCCCACATAACCTGCCTCCCCACACGGACCCCCACATAACCAACCCCCACATACCCTGCCTCCCCACTGCCCACACATATCCTGCCCCCACACTGCCCCCACATTCCCTACCCCCCCACACTGACTCCCACATACCTTGGCCCACACTGACCCCCACATAACCTGCCTCCCCACACTGATCCCCACATACCATGGAGCTTAATCCCCTTGTTCGTGGGAATGTTTCCACCGAACAGTGCCTTTCTAAGTGTTGTAGAACCAAACGCAGGCGATGCTGGAAGTCCAGCGGTGTTCAGGAGTTTCTGTGTCTGTTTTCAGTTCCATGAGATTCATGCCCGAACACCGCTGCCTGCGTTTACAAACAAGATGGCTGCCACCTCATGATCGTCCATAGGAATTGCGGCCACCCAGACGAACATTTAGAACACTGCGGTGGAAATTGCTACAAAATAGCAATTAGGCTTAACAAGCTCCAGGATGGTCTCCGGTTCACAGTCTCTTTACATAGTTTTTTAAAGGGCCCATAGTCTTTGGATAAGAGGGTGGCTAATAGGTCCCTCCAAGAACACGTGACGAGGCTCAGGTGTTCCCAATCTTTCATTTGTACCCGGGGCATATACCATATTTCTGTAACAATTTAGGTACGGCTGGGATTGATACCAATGGATCAGAAAGGGTAAGCAGAATATCATCCACATATAATGTAATTTTGTGATGCTCTGAACATATATCAAGACCTCTAATTCCTTCATTCAATCTAATTGCAGCTGCTAGGGGTTCTATTGTTAAAATATACAGAAGGGGCACCAAAGGACACCCTTGTATAGTACCATTTCTAATATTGAACCAATAGGAGATCATCCATGGACCAACAACTCTAGGCTTTGGAATCATATACAGTGCCATAATATTATCTTTAAATGGGCCTTGCAATCCAAAGTTCTCCAAAACCAAGACTAGGAACCCCCAGTCTACTATGTCAAATGCTTTTTCAGCATCCAATGTTAACAATGTTGCTTGTGTTTGATGTATATTTAAATAATTGATTACATTTAGTATTTTACATATGTTATCTGCCATATCTCTACCCAAAATAATGATCCATGTGTATAAGATCTAGAAATATGGTTATTAATCTGTCAGCTAATATTTTAGAAAAGTTAAATTAATATGAGATATTGGGTGATAATTTGACAGGGTATCTGGGTCCAGGCTTTGGAATTGGTAGAACATTAGCCTACAAAAATTCTTGCGGGATACTTCTATTCTTAGTAAACTCATTAAAAGTTGAGAATAACAATGGGGAAATTATACCCTCAAAGGTTTCTTAAAAAATTGCAGAGAATCCGTTAAGTCCGGGGGCTTTCTCCTTTTTCATCTAGCTTACTGTATTCTGAATTTCCTTAAGAGAAAAAGGTTTATTTAATATCTTCATATTATGCATGGTAATTTTTGGAAGACAATTCTGAATAAAAATGTTTACAATTTTTTTTTAATAATTTACATCTTCATTTTCCCTCAAATTATATAGAGATTCATAATAATTCTTAAATGCGTCCCCAATTTGTTTTGGAGAGATTACAGTTTTATTACCATAATTAATTAATTTTGTTAATTCGTAAATTTTTCTTTTTACCTTTCAATTTATTTTTTAATACTTTATCAGTTTTATTGTTATTTTGATACCAATTTTGTTTTAATTTATCTAAATTAACTTCCATTTGTTGCTGTAATTTATTTTTTATTTGCTTTTGAAGATTTAGAATATTATTGGAGATATTTATTAATTTGTTCCTGCCTAACCAGTTGTATATGCAACTCTGAAAGAGATTTAACGTTATTTTTTTTTTTAAAGATAATAAACAATCCATGCATATAGCATTTAAAAGTACACCAAACTTTAGGGGGAGCCATTTTTCCGTTGTTGTTAATGTCAACAAATTTTTTAGCTCGTTTAATCAGGTCTTTTGTTTGATGGCCAGGAGAACATAATATATCATTTAATCTACAGTTTGATTAGAAGTATATCCTGCGTTTAACTGTTATGGAGATATGGGCATGATCTGACTAGGATATTGGGCCAATTCTCAAGGAGGTGAATCTGTCCAATGAATGTGTCTTAGTGGTAAACAAATCAATCCTTAATAAGAAAAATGGACTTTAGAGAAAAACGTATAATCCCTATTGTTAGGATGTTGTACTCTCCAAATGTCATACAGGTAATTTTTTGCCGTGAGATCAAAAAATGGATTAGAATATTGTCCTGGGTTGAAATTCCTATTTGAAATAAAGGGTTGTTTTCGGTTTAATTTTTCATCCAGCACACTGCTAAAATCTCCCCCCGTATTTAATAATCCTTGGAGAATTTGATCAATTCGATTTATTATTATTTCTAAGTCAGAAAGATCAAACTTTCCCAACCCCGTGACGCTATTGCAATTCCAGTATTTTAGTATTATGGTAACAAGACTCAAGACTTCCCTTATCCCTTCCCTCAAATCAATGAAACAATCACTATTGCCAGTGTGCCTCACCCTTCTGTCAGTCCCTACATTGGCTTCCTGTAAGATATAGGGCTCAATTTAAAATTCTGGTTCTTGCTTTCAAATCTCTACATAATGCTGCTCCCACCTATCTATTCTCCCTAATACACAAGTAAGTCCCGTTTAGGCCCTTACGCTCTGCTAAAGACTTACATCTATCTTCTGTCTGTACTCCCACCTCTGATGCTCGCCTTCAAGGCTTCACGAGGGCTGCACCATTCGTGTGGAACACACTTCCCTCCTCCGTTAGATGCTC